AGATAAATGTCTATCAGGGATGGTCTAGACAGTATTTGGTCCTGCCATCCAGGCAGGGGACTGGACTCGATGACCTCTCGAGGTCCCTTCCAGTCCTATAATCTATGAATCTATGAATCTATGGTGTCCCTAGCCTCTGTCTGTCAGAGGAGGGAGATGGATGGCAGGAGAGAGATCAATTGATCATTGCCTGTTAGGTTCACTCCCTCTGGGGCACCTGGCATTGGCCACCGTCAGTAGACAGGATACTGGGCTAGATGGACCTTTGGTCTGACCCGGTACGGCCTTTCTTATGTTCTTATGTAGTAAAAGAGAAAAAGCTCTTCACTCTGGTGCTGCATAGAGTGGAATTTTACCTTCCTGATGGAAAAACTCAGCAACCAAAGTTCAGGCAGGAGAAAATGGACCTGTTGTATTACATAGGCACTAACTTTTGACTGGAGAGATTTTGGCCGAGGAGGGGTTTTTACAGACAATTTGGCTTCTTGCAGGTTCTTGCATTGCTGTAGAAGAAAGAGTGTAAAAAGTGTTTTCTGTATTTGAAACTATTTTGAAAATTCACCATGCCTGTGTTCCTGGTAAGGGAGATTTAAGCATTTTAACCCTTAATTGAAATTTCACTGTAATTTTTTAGATACCACTTCCAAGTGAAACCTGGAAAGGGTCAAGCTCTGACATCTGCACACTGATTACACAGGATGAGTTTTGGAAATGACAGTTTAAGGAGTTTTTTTAGGGCTTTTTTGTTAGTTTAAAAAGCTACAAGGAAGTAAACTCTGTATCTATTATTTCTATCTGTAAAGAATGTCTTTAAAGAATGGTTTAATATAAAGAGTTCGGGCTTCATTATTGAAGATAAATATGACACAGACAGGAAAGACAGACATTCTTTATCACAAAGGGCCAGGAATTCTTTGGAACGGGCTGAGATGAGCCAAACTCTAAACTATGCTCTCTCTCAATCCACCACCCTAAACAATTTGGAATAATTATATTTTTCATGAAAAGTTATCAGTTCTAATTTCAACAATGGGAAATATAAGATGAAAAGGTATGAGGACGAATTCTTGAAGTTGTTAACACATAGCAGGCTTTTAAATATGCAAGTGGACGTACAGCAGAAGATTATGGTCATCCATTAGCAACATGAGAATGCTCTTTGTGGCATTTCTTTTATCCAAGACAGAAAAGTCAAGAGAGGGGGGGAGAGGGAAGGAGAAAAAAAGGACACATTCCTCCCCTCTCAGGGCATATTTCCCATTCTTTTCTGAACCAAGTTCCCAAAGAAAAAAATTGGCTCATAAAATAAGATAAATACCAGCATTTCTCTGTACTCTGCCAAATGGGTGTCATGAGCATACTTTGACCAAATAGAGAAATTAAACTCATCTCTTAAAAAAAGGGCAAACAAATAAATTAGAGACGAACCTTTACAGCTCCTAGCTGCTCCTTCCTAAATTTTTCCAAAGGTTTGATCAGCGTTTCGGTAACACTCAGTGCCTAGAGAAAGAAAAACAACAGCATATATAGCGTGTTATCCACAGAGGAGGAAGGCAAGTCATTTATTTTACCCTACCAACTGCAAATAATACAAAAAATTAATAACTCCAGAGTATCATTTTCAAAAGCACTTAAATGAGTTAGGAGCCTGAGCCCCATTTTCAAAACCCACATGGCTCCTAAATCACTTAAGAGCTTTTGAAAAAATTATTTCTCAGCTCATCTTGAAGCAAACATTAACATATTTCCAAAGTTGAGCATCATGAACTGTACAAATATTCTGATGCAAATACAATAGTGAAGGTTTGGCTGAGGTTTCCTCCAGTCTTTCTGAACAAGGCAACAGTCTCTTAACAATTGAGCTTTGTCCCATTCATTAACAAAACCTTTCATTGCATTTTTCTTTATAAATTCCAACAATTTAATTTTACCCGGGGGCATCAGATCACGTTATTGCAACAAATGCAGAACAGCAAATACACTCTTCATATACAGTTAGTAGTCCCGCCTGCCAATTAAGTCTTGCAATATATTTCTCATATACTGTACTAAGATTAATTGTACACAAAAAACACCCTACATTAAAAGAAAATTATTTAGGTTGCAAAGTCATATTCTCAAAACTTAGGAAATGACAGATTTACAGTTGCCTTCATTTCACACCCTGCATGTTCATCCTGTGCACTGAAAAACTGAAAAACACAGTAACATCAAGCCCCAAACTCTGTCATCTCCCACAAGAGTTGGAGAAGTTCCTGCTCTACATGGTGCCCCCAGAGTGGTGGAAATGGCTGAAGTCAAGTGCTGGGAATGGGGAGGTTAAAGGGAGAGGGAGCCTGGCTCAGTCCACATCGCCACACACGCTACAGATACTCCAGTGACTACCAGCTCTTTCCAATGCAACAGTGGTCATGTGGGCCTCACTCTTCAGAAAATTTATGTCTTTAGTATTTTGACAGTCTGCTAACATTTTTCTGAGAAATGAAAGCAGAGTAAGAAAATGGCAATTTTAACACTTTATAACTGGGTGAACTCTAAAATCAATATCATGGGTCAAGCAAAAGGCAAGTCTCTAGCCTCAGGCTCTGTCCCTGCTGAGTATTCAAGGCCTGCTATTTACAATGGAGGTGCAAGAGCTTCTCATAAAAGGCCTACAAGACTTTTATAATGGAAAATGTTACGCAACCTAAATATAAGGGTTGCTACAAGCTCTCTCTAGAATACCAAAGTGAGGGAGCAAGACACTAGCTCTCCCCACCCCACCCCGCCGGAACAGAGCTCAAGTAGGCTGAGAGGCTGGAGGCAGAGTTATAATCTGGAGCAACCCAGCACCAGACTTGGGGACCCCTGAAGCTCAGTGCTTGCCAGGAAGACAATATACCATGATGAGGGGAAACCAGTTGTGTAGGGAGGATT